TTTAGAAACCATCACAGCATTACCTTTTTGTTCTCTAGGATGTTTGCATAAAGACATGATGTGGCAAATGTGCAATTTTTTTTATCCTGTGGTTTCTGTAAGCACTTGTGCAGTGCATCTGTAAGCATCTGAAGAATTTTTGCTGTCATGTTATTGGCTTTTTTCACTCTGAAGAACTTCAATTCTGTTTAAAGTTTTCTGTGACCGCCCCTAGGTATAGCAGTATCTGCATATACTTTAGCACTTTTCAGAATAATGTCACTGGCTGTATGATTTCACATAGGATGATAGCACTGGAACAGACTTAACTGAGGCTGTATAAATAAGTACAGCTATCAAATCTAGTCATATTTCTAGTAAGATGTCTGGAAATGTTGTTAGGATTTGATCCATAATGATCTCCATTGTTCACTTTCCTATAGTTACTACATATGGTGTAACAGAGGGCAGAATATGACCAGCAGAGCATATAAGTTGTCTGGGTATCACTGTTTTTCTGAAAGAAACAAACAATTTCTCATAACAACCTTCAGCTGAATCAGGTTGCGTGATGCATTGAAGATGAGATGGAAACAAATGCAACAGAGGGTCTGAATTCTAAAATCACTGGGCATATGACCCCAAAAAGAAAGGCCTATCTTATCTATCAGCCGCCTGTGCCGCTGCCAAACAGCCCAAGAAGTCTCAGCGAAGTGCTGCTTTGCTCATGCATTCATGCACACACGCATTCATTACGACTGACCTGCCCTAGGAAGGTCCATTAAATGGAGCTCATTTCAAGCACAGATGGTCCTGAATAGCTTAATGTCTGCCTGGTGGCCAGAATAAGTGAATTCTTGATGGTCTTAGACTTCTGATCACATACATGCAGCCAAGGAGGAAATGAAAACATGTTTATCATTTTGATAAACAACCTTTGTCATTGCTGCAGGATGCTCAGTGCAACTCGGTAGAGTCAAATACTATTAAATTGTCATCACTGTCAAAGAGAGAACGTATAAGTTTTGCTACCTGAGTCATAGTTAATGACTTCCACAATGTATAACACAAATCAGTAGTGCTGTTTTTCCTTTTTTATGTTTGTTTACTGATAAGTTCAGGCTCTGCTAGAATACAGAGGCAAGTTATAATTTTGAAGTGCAAAATATGCTTTTATTATTACCTCTCAGCTAGAGATATAAAGAACAGAGATGACTAGAAGATGGCTTCTTGGCTTCTGCCAGGCATGCACTCAGCGCCTGTAGCTGATTAGGTGTTTTAAATCACAGCCATCCGCTGTAGGTTCGTACTTACGATAAAATATTTCACTCTGTGGTGTGTAAACTCAAGGTGGCTTTATAACTGAGATAAAAAATGAACGTGTTTTCAGGAGTTAGGTGTCTTCCAATTAGAATTAATCCATTTGCAGGCAGTAGCAAACAGTTGTCCCTGTCCTACAGTAAGAATGATAGGTAATTTCTACACTTTAATATTTAAACTTATGTAGAATAAAGACTTCCAGGAAGCTAGGACATCTGAGGATGGTCATAATGCCATGGACAGTTGCAATCCTTGGTAGTCCAAATTCCTTTCCAGAATTTGATTCTGTCCCTCTTGCTTAGATAGGTAGCAAATTCCCAAATTTCAGGGCATCCTGAACTGGGTGTTTAGAAGTGGTCATCTGCTCTTCCTATTGAGTCCTGCTAATGACTGTTGTCAAAAAGATGTAAGTCATGATAGGACATTTCTGTTCATCTCCAAAGTTTCCTGAAGAAAGAGCAAAGCTGCTCCTGATTTGTGAGTTCCGATGCATTTCTAATCTTCCCAATTTCCTGCAAGAGGGGAAATAGCAAATAAGCAACCAAACAAAGCTATTCCTCTTGCCTTCTTACTTAAGCAACCACCTCATGGGATGTAGCAGTCAGCAAGACAGTCATAGCACTCTTAACTGAGATGTGTTTAGGGTGCTTTCCTCTCCTTTTAAAATCAATGAAAAATCCCCAATTGACTTAAATGAGTTGGATAAGGCCATTATTGTAGGAACAAAGCCAGAAGACAGACTAGCTCAGCAGACCATAAACTGTTAAAAAAAAAAAAGAAGAAAAAAAAAAGAAAAAGAAGCGTTATTTCTCTTGTTTGTGACAAAGATTCAAACTTCCATTGCACTCGACTATCAGGTCAATAATCCACATTGTCATTTAAATTCCTAAGTATTCCTTTGTATACATTCCCAGATGGGAATGGCTTCCAAAGAGAAGTTTGGAGTCAATAACCCATGTTCTTTAAAAGTCCATCAATTTTGAAATACATTCATGCAATATAAATATTTTTCTGTCTACCATCCAGGTCATCCCTAGTAGGCACTACAAAATGTCTTTGAGTATTGTTCCCTCTCTTTTTTAAAAAAACAAGTTGATATACCTATGAGATGTATATTTTTATGTATAATGTGAGCACTGAGCATATTGCTGTGATTTGTCAGAGATCTGCTGATGACAACTGGAAAGACAATAAAAAATAATATTCTCTGAATCTCTTCTCATTTCTATGACAGTAATGGAACTGAGGGGGAAACATTCCAGTTTCCAAATTTCAAAGGGTGCCCTTAGGGTTGAAATCCATAGTTACCCAGCAGGATTAAAGATGTCATTTTTGACTGGACACCAGTTTTGTTTCAATAAAATTTACTCCTCATGTGAGAAGATCTTTAGTATTCAGTGTCAAGCCCTAGGCAGGTGAACAAAATGTGTTGACTCTCCAAATGCAATGCTTCTTGTGAACAGCATCTTCTTTTTCTTCCCTTTTAACTAAAAGTTGACATATGTAATTTCAACACTGAAACAGCAAACAGCATCAAGAGAGAACAAATGTCATCATGCACCTGCACTGCACAAACAATCTTTGTGTTTGCGGCGTGAAGTCCAAAATATTCTGTGTGCACTGTTTAAGTAGTAGTTTTATTAACAATTCACCTCTTGGCAGTGTGTAAGGTTGCTACTTCCATGCTACATCTCCCATGGAATGGTTTCAATGATGTTAATCTTTAATATTAAACCTGAGAAGCTCAAGCAACTAGAGGAATGGAAGTAAGGGGAAAATATTTTTCTTTTGCTCAAGGAAAATATTTCCAGCTACGGTTCTGCTTGTGTTTCCATCCAAGAAACAGACACTGCAGAGAAAACTTCATAATGCATTGCACAATCTTTAGTCTTAGCAGTAGCATTACTGTGGGTATATTCTGATATTTTTATAGTCGGAACAATTAAAAGTTCCAATTAATGTACATAACTACCCAGTGGTAACAAAAGGGTTTTTACGTTGCTTTTATAGTTTTGTTATGTTTTCCCACTCCTATGCAGCTACGCACTTGTAGTTAAATTCTTTACTGCTGCAACAACTTGAGCTTCCACATTACAATTAAAGGTGTTACAAAGCTCATCAACCACAACCCATTATTTTGAACAGATAATCAAATGAGAAAGACTAGCTCATGTGGTTATTAGGACTCATACAGGAAATTAATAGAGGAAATGAAGCTTTTAGTTTATTCACAGATATTTACCAGACAGTATACCTAATCTAAAATTAGAAATACTTATTACCACATACATTATTTTTATTGTTGTACGTGCAATCAATAAAATCACAAATCCTTCTTCTCTTAGGACATGACCATAATGAGTCAAACAGTGCGAATGTTTTTATGGCTTTCAATATGATTTGGATGGGGGAACAGGGAGTTTATGTGAAGAACTATTTCTTAGAAAAACACAGGGATTTGGGGCTGAGTTGATTGTCACAATTCCTCTTCCTCCAAAGAGACAACTAAATGACCTTTTGTCAAATAATGGCTTTCTGAATTGTTGGGATCTCTCTTCTGTGGTACCTACTGGCTTTCAAAAATCCCATGTCAGCAGATCAAATGTACCTAACAAGTAGTACATGCAGCAGCATTTCTTTCCAGATGAGGCAGTTATTTTCTGCAGTCTTGTCTCAAGCTTGCAGACTCATCAGTGCTTAACTCCAAGACCATGCAACCCAAGCTCATGTACTTTAATGGGTGTTCACCAGCTTTGATGCACTGACTTATCCTGGAAGGCCAGATTCCTTCTTCGCATCCAGATATGGGCCAGCATCTACACATGCTCACAAGCTCTCAAAGCTTTTTCAGTAAAAGGGGGAATGCCAAAGTGGCAATCCTTGCACTGTATTGCTAAGGTGAATGGGAATGGTACATGTGACAATTCACTTCTGTGTCTAGCGTATGCCACAGACACCAGGGATTCATGAACCCTATGACTTTATTTCTCTGCCTATCACTCCTTTGTGCACTCCATCCAAACAGATCATTGCAAATAGTCATAAGGGGCAATGAAGGAGAAGAGAAATTAATCCTTGCCCATGATGACAGTATTTCTGGCTTTAAACTGCCCATTTTGTGAGTGGGGTAGTGGAGGGAAATGCTGTTGCACCATTCTGTAGTTTGGAGAGGCTGATTATCACCCACTATGGACTGTGAGCTGGCTTAGAATCAAATACTTTCTAGATGGATGCCTATAACCCCCATCTTTGTACAGAATATTTGTACAGAGAATATCTGGGAGAAAGATCTTCCAGTATTACAAGCATAAAATCGTCCCAAAATTATTTCATTTATGCATGCAGCATAGGTAGTACATCACCTACATTTCCTCAGGCCCAGACTGTGACTTACTTCATTTTCTTAGTTCAAAAGTCTACAGATGTCAGAGAAGCTTTTAATACATGACAGGAAAAAAATATCGGCTCTTGAGGGTCATTAATCTGCATTTCCTATAGGAAGTATATCAACATCTGTCTTAGTAAGGGTCACAGTCAATGGGAGAAAAATAGCATTGTAGTAGTAGGGCTGTATAGAAGTCATGCAGAGAAAAGGACAGTAGCACACCGGGTGCTTTGATTAACTACTTCTGCTCTTCCTAATCAGAAAGTCAATATTGTCTCTTTTTTCTTTTTTCCCTTTTTTTTTCTTTTTCTGCCAGAAGGAGGAACGTGTGAAGTTATAGCAGCACACAGATGCTGTAATAAGAATCGAATTGAGGAAAGATCACAAACAGTAAAATGTTCCTGTCTACCTGGGAAAGTGGCTGGGACTACACGAAACAGACCTTCCTGTGTTGATGGCAAGTAGCTTCTCTTATATATATATATATGTACCAGTAAATAGCTTCAAGTCTATAGATTTCACGTAGGAACTTTGCTGTGTTGTCTGTTCAACTCAACAGGAAAGCTGTGCACATGGATCACACCGAGGTTTACTCACAAAAATATGAGTAAAGCATTCAGTACAGCCACTCAGATCAGTCTAAAAGATATTGTGGCAGAATCAAGTCTTTAATAAATAACTGGATGAAATTATTCCTTGCATCACTTCAAGGGTATCTGAAGTGAGATAGAAGAATCAGTGGGTAACGTAGAATGGAGGACTTTGTAGACAAAGCTTAGAGGTTTTTACATTCAGTACTAAGAAGGTGAAAGACTGGGGGTACCTTCAAGAGATGAGAACCTAATGTTTTCTCAGCAAGCATTTCAGTTAAAGACTAAAAGAAAATATTGAATGATTTCAAAAAGGCTTTCAAAGTCTTAAGTGATGTGGCAGTAATCTGTGTCTTGTTAGTCTGGGAATGCCATTCAGCTTCTGAGCTCATAACTAAAAATGCACTATGAATGGACCTCTGAAAGACTGCACTTTAATCCACATTCTGTCATTTTGTTATTGCTTAATTAACTCAATAAAAAGAAACTTTTCCACTGAGCACAGTCAAAAAAAAAAAAAAAAAAAAACAACCATAGGTGAAATCTAACACTGATCTTAACCGGAGATCAGCTGTACAGCCTTGAAAGGTCTCATGTTCTTCAGCAGGTCGTGAGAAAGAGAGGCACTGGGTTGAGCAGACACCATTAATTCAGATCTCATAATTCTGCTCAGAGGACAGGAGCTCAAAGAGTGCTGTGTTAAGAAAGCTGGGTGCAGGTGTGGACTGGAGCCTAATTGCTTTATCAGGATTACAATAAAAAGAAACGTTTTTGTCTGGAATTTTGAAAGGAGTTAAGGATAAAACAATGACTAATATGAAAGTGCAAAGCTAGTTCCATTGAAGTCACTGGTAAGATTCACGGTGACTTCAAAGCCCAAAAATGTGAACTACAAAGGAATGTCTTCCCTTTTCAAGTTTAGTTGTTGTAGTCAGACAATTGCTTCTTTTGAGAATGGCTGGTGAACAGTTCAAAAGCCCAATATGTTGCATATAAAAATTAATAGAATGGGCATTTCCTTTGGCCTTTGTTTTATCCCAGACTTTGCTCTGTGACTTTTGACATACTGAACGGTGTAAAGTCAGATCTTTGACCTGTTTGATGCAAAAAACTTCCTGTCAGAGATCTGTAGATGGCAATACTTTAACTCACATGAAGATCTGGAGTTTGCTGTCTCTTTTTTACATGTGGACATTTACAAAGGTCGTGTACAACTTGTTATCTTGTTCACCTACTGCAGCGAAAGGACAGAGACCTTTTAGCCACATTGGGTTTTACAGTGCGGACGATGTCCAACCACAATCCATCATTCAGAAAGCTTATTTGGATCCATTACTTTAGTGGGGACATTCAGGAACAGCAGTATACTCTCAGCCAAACAGGTCAACCACTTTTGAGGTGAGAGGAACCAGGAGATACCATGTCAGCAGTTTGACTCATATTGGTAGTGATGATCTCCTTTAGCTTTGTGTATAAAACAACTTGAATCTCAGTCTTGCCCTGTTTATACCATTAGCCAAACTGTGACTTAATGGGATCAGAAGAAAACTTTTGGAGTTTCTCAGTCCAATAGCATCAGAAAACACATCAAGGTCAATGCTTGACTGTTTGTTGCAAACAGAATCGCAATCAGAATTGCTCCACACACACACAAAAAGGCTGTTTTTATTTTACTTCTGCTTTGTTACTACTCAAAACATTTCCTTAAAATACATGGCTGGGGGCTGCTTGAGTTTTGGTGGTTCTACCAGATTTAGCATTGTTAGAGGTCTGATAACTTCAAACAGGCTTTAAAATAACTTTGTTACAACAGCATCAAACATGAAGGTTATACCAATGCTATCACATTTGAGTCAGGACTGTAATGTCCACCCATCATTCTTCTTTGACCTAATCTTCATGCAAAATTGATGTCACCTTTCTGAACAGGATAAGATTTTCTTTTGTGGCACAAATCAAGCTGGCTCGGTGAACCAGAGAGCAACAATGAGCAAGTGACCCAGTGAACTGATTTGTACACTCAACTCATGTCTTCCCCTTTCCCCTTTCCCCTTTCTCCTTTTCTTTTTCCCCTTTCCCCTTTCCCCTTTCCCCTTTCCTTTCCCTTTCCCTTTCCCCTTTCCCCTTTCCCCTTTCCCCTTTCCTTTCCCTTTCCCTTTTCCTTTCCCTTTCCCTTTCCCTTTCCCTTTCCCTTTCCCTTTCCCATTCCCTTTCCCTTTCCCTTTCCCATTCCCTTTCCCTTTCCCTTTCCCTTTCCACTGTCTACCCATGACTTGCAGTTTTCTTCAGTTGCCTCCATTAGCAAAGCAGTCTTGTGGTCACCTTTTTATTGCAGACAAAGACTTTTTTTGGAAGCTAATTGTACTACACTTTAGTACTCAGTATACCCAGCGTGAGTGTTTGATCAGACACAGGAGTAGAACACCTTTTCTACACTGGTCACAAACAGCAAATGTGAAGGAAGTGGGCACAGACGCCAAGTGACCCCCTGGGGTTCCTGTGTAAGTATTAAAAGAAGATCTTTAGAAATATTCTCACAGCTCAAATACTTCACATTATTGCTTTAAAAATGTAAGAGGAATACAAAATATTCATAATTTTAGTACTGTCACTTTCATGTGGCAAATAATGTGCATGTTACCATGTCATTTACAGAGGTATTGAGCCATTCTATACACTCAGCAGGTGGTTACGCCCATGTGTTCTTCAACGCCTTGAATAATACATAATTTGTTCAACAGTACTGAAGTTTACTGTGTTATGCTTAATGATGCTCTCAGGCACGTATTTTTGAAATGCTTCAATTCCCTGTTCACTCTTCCTCCCCTCTCTTTCAAACTGTCAGAGCCAGTCAGCATCTTTTACACAATTCTCTGTGAAATTGATTGGACCACAGAGCATGCAATCAAAGAAAAGCACATGTGCTGGCTTTAGAAATTGGTCAAGAAGGGACCATCACACAGGCTGTGCATGTTGGCTTTTAGGAATTGAGGGCTTTTTAGCACTGGTCAAAGTCAGTGAGAAAGGAGGAAGGCGTTACTACAACTATTCCCAGTTTCAGTGCATTCTCTCTCTCTCCAAGTTGTTCCTCTAGGAAATGTCACTGCTGTGGTTTAAGTGATCCCCCTCCATGTTGTCAGCAATACAGGATTTAAATTGTTAGCAGGACCAGTGTGCTAGCTCCACATACCTGCTGCTGGCCTGCTTTATACCAGCCGTGCATCAGGGCAGAGGGAAATCACTCACTGATACAAACTATAAAATGAAATGAACCCAGTGTTTCCCATTCCCGTAGCCTGGCCTTGGAGCACATCAGCTTTCAAATCATTCTGTAATATATGAAATATTCACTCGCATGTACATACTTCAGGTTTCTATTAGTTTGAGGACCATCCATCACTAGCCACCATACAGCCCTGTGAATTTACATCAGACTTTGTCAGGACAGTGCTAACAAACTCAACACAAGTCTTAATGACTCTTGGGAACACCAAGACTTTTAATGCCGCTCTGGGCCAGCACCTCACAACTCTCCCTGTGCTTCTGATCATAGATACTGCACATTATTTTTCCCGTGCATTATTAGGAGCAGGGAAAGGATAACATTCATCAACACTTGGGCTCTTTGCTGGCATCTGCCCTCCACATGAAAAGGTCTTGGCACATAGGTCGCCACTTAGGCAGGCAGTACTTGCAGCCACACTGTTGACAAGAGCTTAAGCTATTTTATTTGTAAATTATGGACAGGTTGCCGGCTGTAAAATGAGCAGTCATAATTAAAGGGCTATGGTCCTGCACCAGAAGAGGCTCAGCTCACCCCCTGCAGGAGCCTGAGCTGGCTCCTATCCACACACCCTGCCCCAACTCATACCAGCAAGAGATGGGCACAGGAAATATGGAAAGCTCCCAGAGTGAGAGCAAGATTCGAGCCCTGCAGAGTCAGATGAAAGACTCTATTGACTTTGAGTCAGATCCTCAGCAAATACTTTGTTAGATATAATCCTGTATCTATCAGCACTTACATCGAGTGAAAATGGTTCGCCGTCACAAAGCCAATGGTTTTCTATTTATCTTGTGTGTACTTTAGGTGGTATCACCAAAAAGCCTTCCCCCCCTCCTCCCCCCCTCTCCTCCACTTTTTGAAAATACTTTCAATCCATTTTTATTTCTTGAAGAAAAAAGGAGAAAAAAAGATGTTTTTCTGCAATGGAAGGAGTCAGCTTCTCATCCCTCTAGCTGTGCTTCAGCCTAGATGAGAGGAGATCTCAGGGTCCCACATTATTAATGCACTGTCTGTATGAATAACGAGCAGGCTTGGTGAATTATTTCACACTCCTGGGAAAATCTATAGCCCTGTCCTTCTGCAGCACCGCGGAACCGAGCGGGAGTCTCGTATTTTTTGATTTGGTGAATTCAGATGACTTCATTTGTGAAGAGGAAAAAAATGTATCTGCTCCCTACTGACACCCATTTAGTAAGCTCAAAAAAAAAAAAAAAATTCACAGCGTATCACATACACTATTAAATAGAGGCAGAGAGAGAAGCCTAACTTTGTGCTGGAATATTTTCAGACTTTGCTTTTGTCTGGAAACATGTCTTCTTGAAATGTCCTTGGAGTTGCCCTGCCATTGCAGCCAGTGCAGAGGAGCTGACTTTATGGAGGGTCATCCTCCTCGTCGTAGCACCCAGTGCTGTTTGGAAGTGTAGGCATGTTGTGGTGGCTGAGGCACACCATGGGAGGATATTCAGGGGTTGAATTTGTAACCAACGTGGGATGAAGTTCCCATTTGTGCCGTGTGTATGCTGCCTGCAGACCTCGGCCCTCCTTGGCACTGAGGATGACGGGTGAGCTTGCCTCTCTGGAGTG